TTCAGGGAAAAGGGCGGCATACAAATAAAGGCAAATACAAATACAAATAAATAAAGGCAAATACAAATAAAGTAAATTCAAATTCAAATTCAAATTCAACCCCTGTTCTTTAGCTGTTCCCTTTGTCTGGCAAGTCTGCACGTGCACACACTGGGAACAGGCTCCAGCTGTTCTTCTGCCCCACTGATGTCTGACTCCAAAGGCAGCTGATAACTGTCGGACGGCCCTGGCCCCATCTCTGCCTCTGACATAGAGCCATCGTCAGGGCCTTCCCCAGACTCCAGGACTGGCCTCCCCAAAATCCTCACTGGCCGAATCTGCTGCCAGGTCCACTTGGGTATAAAAATAGGATTTAGCGAGTACCTCCTTGGTAATGTAGCCGTCCTTGTTGATGTCATAGAGGTTAAAAGCCCAGCTGAGTTTCTCATGCACTGTGCCACGTAGCAAAATGGAGAGGCCAATGACGAAGTCCTGTTCAAGACAGCAACAGAGAGAGGGGGAGGGGAAAGAGAGAGGGAGATCAGTCACAGCCTGTGAGCCTGGCAAGAGGGGACATTCGGTGCCAGGCCTGCCAACGCTTACATCTCTAAGTCAAAATGATTCTTGGCTCCATTTGTTGAGAAAGGTACGGTTTTATTAGGAGCCAAGGGCAACACGGTAATGCAGAGCCAGAACGGAGAATCGCATGGCAAATACCTAAATTTACCACCACCACCCCGACATTCTAGCTGTCTCCCATTTCTGCCACCACAATCAATTAAAATCATTATTTCCTATGGGAGGGACCATTCATCGTCCACCTCCCAAGCCGACCCTTGTGGTTTAGCTGTTCCCTTCGTCCAGCAACTCTGCACATGCGCATACTGGGAACAGGCTCCACCTGTTCTTCCTGCCCCACTGATGTCTGAAGGCAGCTGAGAACTGTCAGACAACCCTGGCCCCCTCTCTACCTCCGACACAGGGCCCTCATCAGAGCCTTCCTCAGACTCCAGGACTGGCCCAGGTTCCTCCCCAACCTCCTCACTGTCCGAATTGGCCGCCAGATCCACTGGCTGCTGGCGGGCCACAACATTTTTCAGGATATATATTTTAAATGAATTTTTGGACACAAATCCCAGAATTCCCCATCCAGCAAGATAGGAAATTCTGGGAACTGAAGTCCAGGCCCATCTTATAAAACTCTGGAGATTGAGAAGCGGTTGAGACATTAAAGAGCATCGCGATGCCTCACAGATCGCTTCCTTTCATATTAATGTGATTTTTTTTTTTTTTGGCTTCTAATTTTGGATTCAGAATTTTGTGTCCCTGCTTCTCACACCCAGATTTGGTTGGATGCGCCTCTGTCCAAAAGGCTGCAACGAATCAGTGCACAGTTTATTGTCTGTGATTTTTCAACGGGCATAATTGCTTTATTTATCAAGTTACCTCACGGCTTTGGGACAACTAGGAGAATTTCAAAGGGCAAACTTGTACACCTCCATCTGAAATTGCTGCCTTTTGCATCTTTTCCACCAGGTTAAAAATACATTTTTCAGAAAAATATGTTTTTTTCATGCAAATGAGGGAAGGATCTCCGATCTTGTCTGCCATCTTAACTTTCTTCTTTCCCACCAGCCTCATGGAAGAGCCTAACAAGGTACACACACATCAGCAAATTGTTTTAAACACACTGGGTCATTTGCACAATATGCATAGATGCACCTCTATAATGGACTGTAATCTGGATTCCCAGGAGGGAGGGGCTGCATTGCAGAGGAACAAGAGACAGAGAAAGTTTAGATAGTCTGATTGGGAGGAAGAGGGTTAAGAGAGGGTTAGAGATTTTCGGAGTATATCTTTAACCATGCAGAGTGGTGCGGTGGGCTAGAGGTGGCACTCACGCCTCACAATCAGGAGACTGTGAGTTCAATCCTTGGTAGAAGCAGATATTTCTCTCTGCAAAATGAGAATATACCGCTATCTGCTAAACAAAACTCCACATTGGCGACAGGAAGGGCATCCGGCCATTAAAAGACTCTGCTGGCTCCATTCAATTGCCCAGACTCCACCCCACAAGGGATTATGGGGTCGTGAAAAGAAGATGATGATGATAACTTTAACAATGCAAATAACTTGCTTTAGTTTGGCAAGATTTGTGTCTAAACAGTAAAAGAAATTGTCAAAGGCCTGGAGCCTCGGAGTGGGGTGGACTGGGCCAACTTCCAAGACTTGTGCTTACCAGATGGAGATCTCCCTCCTCCACAAGCAATCCAGCTGTAAACTCTACATAATCCCTCATGACTGACTCCTGGGAGATTTCCACTGAGAACATTCCATAACTGATAACTGAGAACAAGCCATGATTGATTGCCGGGTGGTTTTCACTCTGGGTCACAAGGTGATGGATGTGCACATGTGCGAGGGTGGGGTTCAGCCTAACTACCAATTAAAGTATAAAGGTTGTGCTGCCCCAGCAGTATATACCACATTTTTCAGAGTATAAGACATACCAAGGTTTTGAAGAAGCAATTTTTTAAAAACAAGTAGGTAGGTAGGTAGGTAGGTAGGTAGGTAGGTAGGTAGGTAGGTAGGTAGGTAGGTAGGTAGGTAAAGGGATAGAGAGAGAGAAACAGAGAGAGAGAGAGAAATATGGTAGATAGGTAGGGAGAGAGAGAGAGAGTAGGTAGGTAGGTAGATAGAGGGATAGAAAGAGAGAGAAATAGAGTAGGTAGGTAGGGAGATAGAGTGTGTATAGGTAGGTAGGGAGATAGAGGAATAGAGAGAGAGAGAAATACAATAGATAGGTAGGGAGAGAGAGAGAGTAGGTAGGTAGGTAGGTAGGTAGGTAGGTAGGTAGGTAGGTAGGTAGGTAGGTAGGTAGATAAAGGGATAGAGAGAGAGAAATAGAGAGAAATAGAGAAA